AAATGAATATATAAAAGAAAAAGTAACAGCAAAACAAAAATGAATCCACAGCTTGTATATTACCTGATAATTGTCCATATTGTGGTTTGTTCCATGACTGTAATTAATTGAAACCAATAATTTAAAGAGAAAATGAAAGAGGTAACCCTAAAGATTGCCTTTCATTTGAGGTAAATGGGGCACTTTGAGAATATGATGACTGCTGTTGGCTTTCTCCAAGAGAATTCACAGACCCTTAACGTTTTGTAAGTTGTGTTTTCATAAAGCCTGTATATAGATTCCATATTTAATATTTAAGTGGTTTCACTTAAAGGAGAAGTGCTGGCTAACACTGACATTGTCACTCTGCCCTTTTGAAATAACAAAGTCTTCTTTAGCATGTCTGATTGGACCAGAGGTAGACATGTCTTAGTAACCACAGTGGTTTGATGTGATTTTTCTCCCAGAAGTTCATATGCAGGAAGCTTGGTCCCCCATGTGAAGGTACTGATATGGTGGAACCATTAAAAGGTAGATCCTAGTAGGAGACAATCACATCATGGGGACACCACCATTAATTCCATCTCAGGAGGAATTAATGTGCACTCCAAGGAAATAGGTTAGGATTCATGTGACCAAATTAGTTTTTAAGAAAGCAGAGTGTTGTAATGTGAACACCCTATGTGCTTGGTCCCTTCTGCATGTGGCCAATTCCCTTGCCACTTTTCTGCCATGTTGTGATGAGGATAGGATACCTTACCAGAGGCTGGTGCCATGCTGCTTGGATTTTCCATTCATCAGAAATATGAGTCCAAATACTTCTCTTTTTCATTATATGTAACCCAATGTCATGTATTCTGTTATAGCACCACCAAATGTACTAAGAGAGTAGTCCCTATGAGACTCAGTTTAAAAAAAGAAAGGCCAGTTGAAATCTTCCCTGGGGAGTTTGAAACAGAGTTACAATTTTAATTTGAGTCAGTTGGTAGTATATTCTAGAGTTAACAATCCAGGTGGTCTTGGGAGATGAAGTAGACAGTTTTGAACCACATATAAAGAAAAAGCAAACAAAGGTGTTTGATAAATGCATACAGTGAAAGTAGTGACTATATGTGTATAGAAGCAAAAAATCAAAGGCTCCCAGTGTCTCTAACTAAAAGATAGTGGTCCAAGATTCTGCATTCCTTCTGATGTTCCTGAGACCCATTGTACTGCACTTGGCTTTTTTCATATGATGTGTAAACTCTGAACCTTTGAAAATCTCTTCCCATTTCTCATCTCTGACATGCCAACACACACACACACACACACACACACACACACACACACACACACTATAGTCTTTTCTTAAAGTAATTAAAGATTGGTCCTTTCCTCATTACCAAACTAGAATAAACTAGTCAACTCATGTTTTCCACCTTGCTGTTTATATGAAGTAGAAAACATGATTCTCTCTTATGGTGAATCTACCCATGATGTAGTTAATTTTTTAAGATATGTAAATACATGAAGGTGCTATGGGACCATTAAAATTTCTCATGATCCTAAATTTCTAAAGGTTAGATTCTTATTCTCTCTCAATTATACCTTGTAATTTCTTTTTTAAGAAAAGAAGAACCAAAATGATATAGTAGTTCAAAGATTTTCTTGTTTAGTTTGTCAAAGAATTACATATAAAAATGAACTTTACATGCTTCAAAAATAAAAATTATGATATAATTATTTTTAAAAAATGATTGCAGATATAAAGAAGCAAAACTAATTTTCTAACAGATCTACTTTATCAACTAAAACATTCATGTAGTAGCAACAGTGTGTTTTCCACTTGAAGAGATACAATCTTCAATGGGAAATAGTTTATGATAATTTGAAGGATTTAGCTTTTTATTTATTGTCCAGATTTCTTGCTTATACTAACTTTTCTTTGTTACCATATTTTCAGCTATGTTTTGAAGTTGTGTCCCTGCAAGTTCCATTAACTTAACTAACCCCATGATGCATATTCAATTAGTAAACACTAATAAATCCAGTTAACTTTTAAAGAGCTTTTTGTAGGCTATTCCAATGTTCTCCTAGGGATTACACTCAGGAACCTATTCCTTCGTCTTGAAGAATAATATATTATATAATGCCCTTATCAGAATGGACTCATGGGGATTCACAAAACTCTACTAAATAGATTCCATGTAAATCCAACGTGCTTTTGCGACCCATTTTGTGCACCTGCTGTCAGTGAGGAGATATTTGATAGCAGGCTGCTCGTTCCATCCTAGTTGCTGACATATCTTTCCTTGTCTTTTCCTTGGGCGGGGGTCTGTGTCAAATTTTCTTTCTCAAACGATTCTCAGATGTCTCTGGTTGCTGTGGGGAACACTATAGAACATATTGTGAAGAAAGAGAGGGGAGGCCATGGGTAGAGCAAGAACCGCACGCAGTGTCAATGACTACAGCTTCTGTGTAGACTAGACTTGACAGCACAAAATAAGATGTTGGTTTTCCAGAAACCAAAGCATAGTCTGCCAATTTATGGGATTTCTGTGTATGTTCTCCATATATGTACCAGAATTTGTTAATTTTATATATTGAATTACTTTTCATAATATATGATGCTTGGTATAGTTTTGATTTTCATTTCCCTGGTGGCTTTCAAAATATATTCATTGGCCCTTTGTACTTCTTCTTTGGAAAATGCCTGTTCAGATTATTTTCCTACTTATTGATTGAGTTACTTGTTCTTTTCTTGTTTACTGAGTTCTTTGTATACTCTGGAAATTAATCCTGTCAGCAGAACATCTGGCTAAGATTTTCACCCATTCCAGAGGTGTGTCTTCACTTTGATGATTATATCTTTTGTGGGTAGAGTCCTATCCAGAAAATCATGGCCTATGCCAATTCCTTAGAGTGTTTTCCTATGTTGTCTTCTAGCAGTTTCAAAGTAGCAGGTCTTAGATTAAAGTCTTTGATCCTTTTTGAGTTGTTTTTTTTTTTTGCAGAGTAAAATATAGGCATCTTGTGTAGATTTTCTCTTTTTTTTTAAAGAGAGAGTGAAAGAGGAGAGAGAGAGAGAATTTTTTAATATTTATTTTTTAGTTCTCAGCAGACACAACATCTTTGTTGATATGTGGTGCTGAGGATCGAACCCGGGCTGCACGCATGCCAGGCAAGCGCACTACTGCTTGAGCCACACCCCCAGCCCTTGTGTAGATTTTCTATCTGTGGATATCCTATTTTCCCAGCACCATGTGTAGAAGAGTCTGTCCTTTCTCTAATTTTTTTTTTTTTTTGAGAATCAGCTGGACAAAGATATATGAATCCACTTCTGGTTTGTCAATTCTTTTCCATGGATCTTAGAATCTGTGTTTAATCTCAATATGATGCTGTTTTTGTTAAGATAGCTCTGCTGTATGTTTTGAAACAAAATATTGTTATGCCTCCAGCAATTGCTCTTTTGTTCAGGATTGCTTTGGTTGTTCAGGATATTCTTTTGTTTCCTTATGAAATTTAGGATCATTTTTTTCTAGTTTTGTAAGGAATATCATTTAAGTTAAGCTCAAAAGTATTTTAATAGGATTGCTGTGTCTACACAGTTGTTATTTTTCTCTGCTGTTGCTATGGGGGTGAGTGTCCAAGAGTGGGACTTCATATTCTCTCTATCCATACCCACTATCTGCCAAGGTTCAATGGGATGAGGTCATGCCTGGAGCAAGGTGTAATTCCTCTCAATTATGCTGAGAGTGTAGCTCAGTAATACAGCATCTGCCCAACATACCTAGAGTGCCAGACTTGATCCCCAGCACCACAAAGAGAGAAGAAAAAAAATACTAATAAACTAGATAAAGAAATAAATACCAAATATAAACAACAAGAAGAAAGGAGGGAAATAAATAGAATAAATTGAACAGATAGAAATGAATAAATATATAATTTTTAAAAAAGATAACAGGAAAAAGTTTTAAGAATGGAAAAAGTATTAGAGAGGAAGAATATAAAAAGGAGAAATGAAACAAGAAAAAAACTAAAAACATCCTATGTCAATCAAAGCTTCTTAGTCTGTGCACCCCATGGACAGAGCAAAGTCTGGGGGTTCTTCACCCCTCTTCTTTTCTTTGTGGTAGTCATCAAATGACTAGTGAAAATGGTTTGAGGCTGGAGTTAGTTGCAATGCTTCCCAGCTATCAAACATGGTGGCGTAAGCTAGGGCAGAATGCAGAGCTCCTTAAATAAAGATTTTTCTCTGGAGCCCTCTGCTCTGTGTGATCTGAGGGTGGGAGTAGCCTCTCCTGCTTAAATTTAGTTGGACAATCTTTGGAGAGGGTTTTTCTAATCCACAGATCTCTGCTGTATCTTTTCATCATCTTTCATACTCTCTTTGTTAGGAATCATAATTAACATAATTATAACTACATGTATACACACAGACATGCACCTATATGTATGCATATTCATGTATGTTTGTATGATATCTATGTAATGCTTGTATGGATTCTTTATAGACACGTATGTTTGCATAATGATTTCATGTCCTTTTCCTCATCTGATGTTGAGATTTCCTCATATATAAAATGTGGATGATAATAGTACCTTAATTGTAGAATCATTGTGCAGAATATTTGATTCACAATATATGAAACTTGTAAAAAGAATTTAATGAACATTATTATTATTATTATTAAATTCCAAGGCAGTGTGTTTGTCACTGACATAAAACATCTGCCCATCAGGCTAGGCAAAATGTGATTTTTAAATCAACATGCTATATAATTCTCTGTGCTGTACCATTAGTTGGTTATTACAGGTTATCTCTTCATTTTAGGACTAAATATACTGTTCATCTTTTGGTAACCCTCTAGGTATTCTATTAAAAAAAACACACATAAGATCAGAGGATTCTTTGAGAAGTTTAGTTATGTGCTTCTCCAATAGCTTTAAAAAATTCATTATGACAGTTGGTGACATATCCTGCTGAACACATGCCTTCTACAAAACATTCTGTCATTCCTCTCTCAAATGTATTTGAGTCTCTGCCAGGCCGAGGAGATTCACAGAGAATAAGACAGATGAGGAGACTTTCCTTTGAGGGGAAGGGAGGACATCTCTGATTTAAGTTAAGTTCAAAAGTAGAAGAGGACTCAAGCCACCACAGGACATCTGTATCCGGGAAACCAGCCTATCCTGCATGCTGGTCAAAGCGATGAAGTAAAGAATTTAAAAGCGTTGATCATCTCAGAAAAGAAAGCATCTCAGTATAATTTACAAAAGGTAAGGATTTTGGAGATGATTCACTATTATTTTGGTTTTATCAGGAAGACTTATAAAATTTCATAGGCCGATTCAAGATAAGCCTTTAAAAGATTAGTAACGTCATCAGAGCTAATAAAGGATAACAGATTAAGTGGCTTGCAAATTGTGAATACAATTAAAATTATGGACTATTTTGTTTCATGAATATGCCTAAATTTGAGAATTGAAACTGCATTCTGTACAGTTACCTTTTCTGTGAAAGTATGAAATTGTTTTTTAGTATTCATTACGAAGTTAAAAGTGTTTATAAATAAATAGAGTTGACATGCACGTGTGAATTTATGGAAGGTACCTTTGAATTGTTAACATTATAAGACTTCATATAAGGAGTGGAGGAAAGTTGTTATACTGAAAAATTTTATTACTATTTTTGGAAAGTAATTTTTGAGTGCAATTTTCTCTCTAAATAATTTTTCAGCAAGTATAACACTGCTCTATAAAGGTGACGATTGAAACTGATAAATCCAATAAGTATTGGTGAATTAAATATTTCTAGTTTTATAGGAGAATATCTGGTGAAGTTAAAGTCACCAATAGAATAAAACTTTTCACCAGATACCCAATTTTCCTAGAGTAAACATATCCTTACTGCATACTTAGAATCTGCAGATTTGTTCCTGAATAAATTGTTTTTATGCTGATATTTGATGATTTTGAACTTTCACAATGCAGTATGTGTTGTTTCTAGTGAGGATATTGAGGCATGAATAAAAATCTAAAGTAGCAAACATTTTAGCCAACCCTACAGATATTTAAGCAGAGATAAAATAACTATTTGGGAGGAATGTTATCACATGGGAAACCTTAGAATTTTCTGGACTAATGGCAATCATTAGGATTACTCAAAGAAAAATTGTTGTGAAGAAATAAAAACTGTATGGGATATATGTTTTGTCCTCAAGACACTTCAAATCTAGTTGTGGAGATACATGCACAAATAACTTTAATGAAAAGAGAATACGTAATATGGTATGATAGAAGTACAATAAAAAAGTTGTGTTTTTAGATAAAGATTAGTTTGGTTTAGGAAGGGTCAGAAAATAGCTAAAACTTCATGAAAGTACTGCTATTCAAGTTCTACTGGAGAACTGGATAGAATCTTGGGATAAATTTAGATGGAGGAGGGCTCCCTGGTGGAAGAAGTTGGGAATGGTTGTATGGAACCAAGCCCTTAAAAAAAATTAGAGACAATTGAAGCCAATGACATCCTGTCTATTCCTGGGGTGCCTGTCTTAGATTTCCATCGCTGCAACAAATACTTGAGATGAATTAACTTACAGGAGAAAAGATTTATTTTGGCTTGTGATTTTATAGGTTTCAGTTCATGGTCACTTTGTCCTGTTGCTTTGGGCCTATGGCAAGACAGTACATCCTGACAGGAGCACGTGATGCAGGAGACCTGCTCATCTCATGGAAGCCAGAAAGCAAAGATAGGGAAAGAAGGAACCAGGGTCCCCCCAACCCTTTTAAAATCATGCTTCCAATGACCAAATTTTCTTCCACTAGGCTATGCCACTTCCAATAGTGCCACAAACTGGAGACCAAACCTTCAACACGTGGGCCTTTGGGGACATTCAACATGCATACCATTAGCAGCTTAATGCAGTAGTCCCCAGATTTGTCTACTGGGCATATATTAAGAGATATTCTGAAGTTGTCTGAATTTGTGACCAGTGCTGAATCCTCTATGTTGTTGTTTCCTGTAAATGTATACCTATGGTAAAATTTATAAGTTAGGCATAGTAAGAGATTAGCAAAAATAACTTGTAATGAAATAGGACAATTATGATATTATGCAGTAACATTTATTCAAAACTTATGAATTATTTATCTCTGGCATTTTCCATTTAATATTTTTAGACAAGGGGGAACTGAAATAGAAAGTGAAACCATGAATCAGAGAGGGCTATTGTACTGCCCTGCACAAAAACTAGCTGCATATTGGACTATATTGAAGTGAGCCAAATACATGAACCAAGAAACATTTACCAACACAAGCTTTCTATTGAGACTAGCATAGTTCTATAAATACAAGGTATTTAGCACTTCCAGAAATCAACCCTTCCAGCTTCCTGCTTTTATTCTGGAAGGTACCTAGGGTTTGATCTGCTTAAATGACATATGGAGGAAGAACTTTACACAACTTTCTTGGGAAGGAGAAAACTAACACATTTTGCTAGACTATAAGTGGTAGAAAGTCTTTCCATATAAGCCTTTTAAATATCTGTACTGTTCAACAAAGAATGATTAAAGGCATGATAAATAGAGTCAATTCTGTTTCAATTTCTAATATTTAACTTGCATCGATACTTTGAAAAAAAAACATCAAATAACACAGTCTTTTATGAGATAGCTAAATGTCAATAATCAAATACTTTAACCAAATAAGACTTTATTTAAGTTAAGTTGCATATTCTATGAGTTTCCCAGTTGGTTTTAAGGTTTTCTTAAAACCTTAGCTCAGTGTCACAGAAACAGGGATAATGCCTTAAGTGTAACACCAGGGACAGAGCAATCACTTCTCCTTGGACTGGGAAAAGTGAGTTCTAGACTTGGTTGGAACATCCTCTGGCCATGTTCTTTTGGGCAAGGGCTCTAACTCTGGACCTCAGCCTTGGCTATGACATAGCAGCCTCTCAGGTCCTTTCCAACTCTTAGGAAATTATGATTTTAAAACAACAAAATGAGCATTACATCTTTTTTCATTTGTTTGTTTTGTTTTCAGTTTAAAACTCCTCCAGAGTAGCTGGATTAAAACAAAGGAGCAGAGCAATAAATCTGAATGAAGACTCAAAAGTGAAAGGAATGTGTCAAAACAATATTGTTCTCCTAAATCCCTTTCTAAAGGTGTAAATTGCATTCTGACACAACTTGCCATTCGGAGGTGCCACACTGAGTTGCTTTGTTTAACAATGAGTTTAATCAGACAAATAGCTCCCCAGGAGGAGTGGAAAACAGATGGACCATCAACTTTTCAATGTGGAAGCCTAGTGAAATAATCTGTTAGCCTTAGGCCAGGCAATTGTGACCCAATGACAACTGACACCTGAAAATATGGAGGAGAAATGTTAAGGGAATTATTTATCAGTATGGTGTCAGGAAGCTTTTTCTAGGAATGGAAGTAGATGTTACTCTCCTGGGGGAGAAAAAAACTTTTCTTTGACTCTCTTAGGTTCAGTACATGGGGTCCTGTGAATTAAAGCTGACAAAAGACAGACTAGCAAACAAAAACCAAAAACAAAACAAAAAGAAAACATTTTCATTCACATAGATTCACAAAGGAGTTCCCAGAAAAAAATGTAACTTCTGCGGCAGTTAGAATTTGAGGTTTATATGGCATCTTAATAGAGTAAGGAGAGGACAAGGAGGTCATTTATGCTTACATATATGACTTTTCACAAATATAAATGAGCCCTTCGGAGAATAAATGGGAGATCTGACAGGTTTCCGACAATGACTATTTAAGTGTTTGGTAGAGATACTGTTTCTCTAGTGATGAGTCAATCTCTCAGGATTTATGGCATTTGAATTCTTTTGAGTTCTTTTGGGAGGCGATTAGACAGGTACAGAACTCAGATTTTTTCTGCTTAAAGTATTTGACACATTTACTATCCTCAAACTATTTAATATCATCTGATTTACAGCAAATATCAATTATTTGGACAGTGTAGATGAAATGTTTGGTGTTATCCATTCAAATTGCAATATCCGTTAAGGGATGTTAACATGAACTTCTAAAGCTATCTTGAAACAATGACAAGTGTGTGGTGATATTGAGACTCACCAATTTGTCTCTATTGTTCCATTTCTGAAACCCAGTAGGTAGTTCAGCAGATTTTTTTTTTTTTTGTGATGGCGTGGAATAAAACCGTGTAGCAGATGAAAACTTGAGATTTTGAAATTTCTGTCCACAGTCAAGTTGGCTTCTTTAAAACATGGGATTTCTAATTTAAACACAAATCTTTAGTTTCCACTTCATACTTATTTCTTTGAGCCTAAAATTAGTACTTCATGCTATCCCAGTCTCAAATTATCTACATTGAAAAAAATCATGAAATTTACTTTCCCATGTGAATATATTAATTTGAACCATGTAAAATCGCTGTTTGTTAAGTAAAAAGCAGAGGCATATTGCCAATTACATATATAGTTTTTTGTAATTAAAACACACAAGCACACAAATTACTGGAAATAATTTAGAAACTTTGTATTGTATTCTTATTTTGAATTTTAAATTTTCCCAGGAGTTGAGCCTACTGTTATTGACAGTTTAGTTAATGTTACCAGATTGATTAAGTAGGCCATGAAACTCACTTCTAAATGGCTTAGTTCAATGTGGAGATATAAGAAATGTTTAGCCTTTTTGGACAAAGAATAAATAGACAAAGATATGCTAAGTGCGTGCCTATGTGTGTGAGTGTATGCATGTGTGTGTCTTTGGTATAATTAGTGAAAATGGAGAAGTGGGATTGGGATTTAGGGCTGTCTTAAGATCAAGAAAGCAAACCGAGTTCAAATTTTCTTCCCAAAGACACTCTGGAAGAAGACACATGATGAAATACTTGTTGTCTTTGGGATGATTCTTGTTCTAGTACACATGCCTAATTAGTTCTTTCTGAGCTGAGAAAGCTAATTAAAAAATACCTACACATTGCATGGGACTGATACTGATGTGGGTTTTGTGATGAATGGGCTCCACACTCAAAACCGCTGGGAGAAAATATTCAAGACTCTGTGTGCTACATGCACCCAAAAGGGGGATGGGTGGAGGCAGGAGGAAGAAAGAAACAGGTAAATTAATATACATACATGATGTGTGTGGTTAAGATAAAGATGTCAATTTTAAGTAGCAAGAAGGATTTACCAGCATGGGTTTCTTTCAGGCAAAAACAATCAGAGAAGAGCAAGTAGACTTTTAAATTTAGACATTTATTTAGTTTTTTAATTTGTTTCCAAGT